CGTGCTGATGTATAGAGGCCCTACTATTTCTACAACCTCTGGCCTAGAATCCAATGTTCATCAGTCCCCAAGGCTGAGTGTCTTCACTCGTCTTCCATGGTTTATGGTGTGGTCCTGAAGAAGTAGATCCTAATACCAGTGAAGGGATGTTTCAGAAGCAGAATAGATGAACTTGCCAGCGAAAGTAAAGGCAAGCAGGAAAGAAAGCAAAAACTTCCTTCTTCCAGTTTGTGTGGACTGCCATCAGAAGGTATGGCCCAGATTTAGGGTGGGGTTTTCCCACCTCAAATGACCCAGTCAAGACAGTCCTGCACAGATACGCCCAGCTGATTAGGTTTTAGTTGATTCCAAATGTGTTCACATTAATAACCAAGACTAGCCATCACAATTATAAACACTGTGGTGTCTATAGACTGCAACATTCATATTAGTGAACACTAATGTAATTATTATAAAAGTATGTTCTAGGTGAATATATTTCACTTCATTACTAATACACTAGCTCTGTGTATATACTCTATCAGAGCTTTGCAAATGTTGCTGTTTAGCAGCACAGTGACCCTGCAGGGGGTGCAGGATTATTATATTTTACAGATGAACAAATAAGCATGTGTAACACCAGGCTTTCAGACTTTGTCTGCCTCCCCAGGGAACTGAAGGTCACACAGACATGTTCTTGACAGGTTTACTAGAGATGTGGGAAGAAGGCATGACTTTGTATTAACATGAGCATATTATGAAGTAAAATAGCAAATTCTCAAGAACTGTTATGGAATAAGAAGGATTTCTGAGAGTCTCTATGCTTGAAGAAACACTTGCACTCCAACACCTGGCCCCAAGATTCTGAGCACACCTTCCACAGTTGAGTATTATTGGAGATGCCTTAAGATTTCCATGGTTCAAGTAATATGAGCCAAGCTTCCAGTGTGTTCTAAGAGTCTGAAGGGATTTACAAATCCTATTGAGAAAATGGATTTCAGCATGCCAGATTCTGCTTATAAAGTTGCATACATAATATTAAGTCTTGCATGTAGAGGGGACGCAAGCTGCATGCAACTGTCTCCCTCTACAGATTCCCGAAAGCATGGTGCTTTCAAAACATCCATACTATTCTATTTTAAATTACAAAATCAATGATCTTAAGATCTGATCTAGTTTTGTTGTTGCTTTTTGTTTTGTGATTGACGTGCTGATGGTGAAAATGTGAGCCCCTAAAGAACGTGGGCTTTATGATCTGAACTTCTCAGGCTTTTTCATAACGAAAGGCTTTGAAATGTTAATGAGACTATATGTAAAAATGCACCCCAGCACTTGCTGATACACAGTCTTCATTTTCATGATTTGCATCAGTTTAAACCCAGAACTTATTGGTAATCTTGCACCTGCATTCCCATTTTAGGTCCCATTTATATCTATTTTTACAAAATCTTCTGTATCGAGTGAATGCCCAAGTTCTACATAATCAAAAAGAACAATGACCTCTAATTGTCACCAGTTCCACAAATGATCCATTGAGAAAAGTGGGATCCACTTAGCTGCACAGTCACTATGGGCTGCCCACCCCTTTACTCACTGCCTTTCAAAACTGTCTTCAGAATTTATATTTTTTATCATACTTTGCAAGAAGCATAGCATTTCCTATTTTTACTCAAAAATCATTTGCAGACTTTAGTTCCACCCATATGTTGAATTATAATGACAAGTAAGTAACTAATCAAAGCTATTGGTCCCAAAACTTTTTTATGACAGTATGGGGGGAGTTCATATGTGTGACACATGTGTGAGTGTGCATACACATTTGTGTGCATGCATGTGGGGGTGAGAGGTCAGCATCAAATATCTTCCTCTTCCACTCCCCATCCTATTTTTTTAGTGCAAGATCTCTTCTCTGAACCTGGGGTTCACTGACTAGCTAGACTCACTGCCCAGGGAGCCCCATGGATTTTCCTGTTCTTCCCCGCACCCCTAGCTAGCCCTGACATAACTGACAAGCACAGCCTTGCCCAGCTCTTTACATGGGGACTAGGGATCTGAATTCAGATACTCATGCTTGCACAGCACACACTTCACCCAGTGTCCCCCGTTAGGGTTTCTATTGTGGTGAAGAGACACCATGGCCATGGCAACTCTTATAAAGGAAATCATTTAATTGAGGCTAGCTTACAGTTCTGAAGTTAAGTCCATTATCCTCGTGGTGAGAGCATGATGGCATGCAGGCAGACATGGTGCTGGAGGAGCTGAGAGTCCTACATCTTGAACCGCAGGCAGCAGAAGTGACTATGGCACACTGGGTGTAGCTTGAGCATATAAGACCTCAAAGCCTACCTCCACAGATACATACTTCCTCCAAGGCCACACCTATTCCAACAAAGTTACATCTCCTAATAGTGCTACTCCCTATGGACCAAGTATTGAAACACATGAGTCTATGGAGGCCATTCCTATTGAAACCACCACATCCAGACAAGCCATCCTTCCAGCCCCAGACCTAGACAGTCTTAAGTGGGACAGGAACTTCAGTCCTTTATTTTGGTATCCTTTTAATTAATGGGCCCGTCCACTCAACTAACTCAGCATCCATGCTCCTCCTATATACTATGTATAGGTACTAAGTAGTATAGATATTGGTATATTGTACGTATAGGTACTGTGGACACAAAAAAACTACATGATTCAGTCTTATTCTAGTCCCATGAGTGACTGGAGAGATGTATATAGGCAGGTAACATTAATGCTATCAGAAGGGCATGTGGGGAACTATGCACTGGGCACCATGCTTTTAGACAGTTGTCACTTGGGATGCTGAGCAAGAATGGCTAGAAATTACCATCTTTTAAAAACAGGGCTTCATATATGCCAGGATAATCTCATCTTACTGTGTAGCTAAGGATGACCCTGAACTTCTGATTCTTCTGCCTCTAGCTCCCAGGTTGTGGGAATACAGGTATCTAACCCCATGCCTAGTTATGTGGGGATAGAGATGAACTGGGGGCTTATGCATGCTAAGAAGAGTCCACCAAGTGAGCCATGTCCCTATCCAACTTTCCAATGTTTTGAGAGCTTCTAGAAATCTCTTTCACATAGAATTTCCTACTTTGTAAATGTGGACACTCAACTTGTAAAGCTAATGTGTAGCTTAACCAAACATGTTCTCTGGCCAAAATAATAACAGACTGCTATTCTTCAGTCTCTGGTACAACTATACACCCTAAGACATTCAGTGTGACACTGTCAGCATTCAGGTACAAATTTGTCACTCACATTATCCAGACACAGGTTTTTGGTTTTTGTTTTGTTTTGTTTTGGTAGATTCTGAGACCAGTAGGTATAGGTCAGTCTGCCCAGCCCTCTGCTAGGCAGATGGAGCCAGATAAATACCCAAAGGATGGTTAGTGTAATTGGCAGATGATTGGGCCTTACACTGAAGGTTGTTTTATTGACATCTCAACACTGATATTGATATAAACAAATAGCATCTTTCTGAAGAATGGCTTCAGTGTGCAGGAATCTTAACCCTTGACTGATTGTGTGCATCTCTTAGTGTGCAAGGAATATTAACCCTTGACAGATTGTGTGCATATCTCAGTGTGCAAGGAATATTAACCCTTGACAGATTGTGTGCATATCTCAGTGTGCAGGAATCTTAAGCCTTGACTGATTGTTTTTATTTGCTTGATTGCTTTGTTTTTTTAGTTGACTTGTTTGATATTGTATATATTAAGACCTCTGAGAATCAGAAATCACATTGCTTGGCTGTGTGTGGTGGCACAGGCTTGAATTCCCAGCAGTGGTGGCTGAGGCAAGAGGACTGTACATTCCAAGCCAGCTGACATAAACAATAAAATCATACTTCAAAACTATCAAAATCATGAAAATAAATCATTTGGTTCTGTCTACTAGTGAGTGTGGTCCAATAGAGCAGTTCACCCTTGCGCAGCCAGGATGGAAAACAATTCAGCATGTGTGTGCTCTAACATGGGCTGTTTTTCTTAGGGCTCAACATGATTTGCCAAGGGAAAGGAAGGAAATGCATACATGATGAAATAGAAAGCCAGAAGCCTGTGTAGTGATAGCTCAAACTTCTTATTAATTGCTTTTGTGCTCCATATTCTCTTGGGAAACACACATAGGTTAACCTGGGCTTCTGCATCTATCTGAAAAATTGAGTTCATGTGACAGAGATGAGAATGTTAGGTACCAGAGACTTCTCAGCTGTCCTCTACAGGTGCAGGTGATAAAGAACACACACAAATCCAGCTCAGAGCAGCTTGACTCACCCTCGAAATTTTTTCTGCCAGGGACACGTCAAACAAAGATATGAGATACCCTAGTCTGGAACTTTTCTGTTTGTAAAACAGAAATATGTCTGCAGAACTTCAAATTCAGAAGCATTATTTTCAACTCATAAAAAGCTAATAGTAAATCTTCGATGTCATATTCCAGGTTCACAGCTAGCTACCCCAAGTGACTTTGTGTTAAAATATTCCAGACTAGAGATCAAGTCCAGGGCCTTTTATGTGCTACATAAGTGCTCTACCACTGACCTCCACCCCAGTCTCTGTGTGTTAAAATTTAGGGTCTAATGCCATTAGAATTTAATGGCATAGCAATCCGGGAAAATGGGTGTGACGAGTGGGCTTCTGTCTGTGTAATCTCATGCCAAAGCATTCTAATGTCTTTTTTTCAGAGATAGTTCTCAACAACACATTGAAGACTGCAAATTAAGAAAGTTCAGATACCAGTGTAGAGAATGAAAGAAAGCAGTGTAGGTGGACAGTGACTGGGGGAACTGGATTTTGTTAGGGGATTGGCAGATAAGGACACCAGGAAATGTGTTGTTGGTAATGAACATAAAGAGCCAACCTCCCTTGATAACTGACTCAATTGTTGTGGTCCTGCACAGCGACCTGCCTGTTGGGAGAGAACGGACTCCAAGAAACTGGACTATTTAGCATGTTTAAACCTCTGTCCCTAACACGCCATCCCTTCCCATTTGGCAGTGGAGATCCTGACTGCCCGTCAGAAGAAAGCAGAAGAACTGAAGAGACTGACTGATCTAGCCAGTCAAATGGCAGAGATGCAGCTGGCCGAACTCCGGGCTGAAATTAAGGTCAGTTCTGTCAAACCCCAGCAGAATGCTGAGCCAGAGTGCCATTCACATTGTGTGTGCTTTGTCAGTAGACTGCTGCTCTGACGCCATAGACTGGCTCCCTTCCACGGGGTTGAAATTCAGACTACAGAAGGATGAAGAAACACTCAAGCACTGTCCTTAAGTAGAATACGGGTTGAAGGAATATATTATTACAAAGGAGGGGGATAAGTTAGTCAAGACCAACCCATTAAAGTGTATTTAAACGTAAGTTATCTGGGTTATGATTTTCACGGTGTAATTTATGCCTGTATGTGTAAGTGCATACTTCTGTGAGTATGCCCTAACAGTGTTTTATAAAGCATCCTTTCTCTTTTCTCTAGTTTAATTCTCTTTTTTGTTAAGGTTACTATCTGCAAATGTATATTTATTAGATTTCTTCCACTGCAAGGAATCCGAACTAATCCTGGCTAATCGGAAACAGAACTTGAAATAATATTTAGTGCAAATCACCAAAGCCAGGTGCGTCTGCAGACATTGGCCTACAACTAGGAACCAGTGTGGCTTGTGGATAATACAAGAAAATAATAATAATCCCATAATTCTCTGTTCAGAGCACCACGGCATTGAATGCCCTCCAAGAGTCATAAGCTCTTGAGCCACACTGTGACTCAAGCCACTAAAGAAAAGCTCTGGCTGCTCTCTACTTGGGCCACGCCTTTTTTGGCCAAGAAAGGGGGATTGACACCTGGATTTATAGACCCACTGAGATGGATCTTCTAAACAGCATTGGGTAAAGTTGCCAGAAGAGGAAGTGGTCACCAGGGCCAAGAAATGCTTATAACGAAGTAGGAAGGTGATGTTGAGCCTTCTCTTCTTTTACATCAGTTGTTAAACAGTGTGTCTGCACACATGTACGCCTAGCTTCTCCCCGGTGTCTAGAAACCTTTCAGCACACAGCTGCTGCTGGCTTTAGATCAGTGTCTGTCCATCACAGAAGAAAGCTGATTGGCAACAGCACAAGTGCCAGGTGATATTTGATCCCCTCCCTCCTGGCTAGGCAGGGAAGAAGGCTCAGGGAGAAAGGGATTGGGTGTCAAGAGCCTGGAGGTATTTCCCTTCTCACCTTCCTTCTGGCCCTTGTTTCTTCCTACCCAGGCAATTGCAAGTGCCTCCTAACTAGTCTTTCTGCCTCCACTGTCTCCTTCCAGCCTCTCCACCCCAGGTCCAAAGTTAAACTCCCAAAACAGACCTTAGCCTCCCTTAGCATGTGCCATCCCCTCCCGCTAAGAATGCAGCACAGTGCAGGTCTCAGTCCATACCGCAATGCCCATTTCCTCTGAAAGTTCCAGCTTGTCAGACCACCAAGTGAGGAATGCGGGATTGCAGCTTCCTAGTCAATTGAAATCCATTTTCTCCCAAGTTTCACTTCTGCCTATCGGAATTCCACTTTTCATTACATGGTTGGCAGCACAGGCTTTGGAGTGAAACAGTATAGCTCCAAAATTTTCTACTTCTGTGACTTGGATAAATTACATATTGTCTTAGGTTCTTAAGAGCCTGGATCCCTCATCTGTAAAATCGAGGTAATAAGAATACTGACTTCATGATCATGCGATTAGGTGAAAATGAGATTATTTCATGAGCGTTCGTTCAGTGTCCAGTTTAACTTTTTTAAATGTCCCAGCTCCCATGTTCTCTCTTTTCACATGTCACTCAGTGGGAGATAATTTCTTCCACTTCTGTCTCCAAAGCACCAACCACTTTCATCCTTGAATTTAATGGTATTCCCCCACACACACATGTGGTTAAACTCCCTGATCCTGGAGGAGGGTTTGAGTCATGGTTATTTCTGTATTTCTCACTGTAGGATCTACACTTAGATCTTAATTTCAAGTTAAATTTAAATGAATTAAAAACTTATCTCTTCCACTCCCTATAGCAGCACTTGAGATTCCATCATGAAGACAAGCTTTTCTGGATGCAAAAGACTTTTTTTTTAGTCTTCTTGCTTTCTTGTTAAAATAGAGAAGAGGTGTCTAGGGAGGCTGGCATATTTTTTTTGACAGTTAATACTATACCAGGCCCTTAGCCAAGCTAGGCAGCCCCTGCTGGAATGCAACTCAGAAAACTGTGCTGGTGAAAGGTGCTAAAAGGTTGAGTAGATCATCCCAGACACCGATTGTTCATTGTGCATCTGTCTAAGCCACAGAGGGGAGAATCGCACTCCTACTTATTCCCAGAAGAAGGTGAACAGTCACAGAGGGCAGAACCAAGGCCCACTTAGTGGCACCTCACACTGACTGTGCTGATCCCCTCAAGTCGGCCATCTGTGGGCACAGGAAGAACAGAGTGAGAGGGTGTGCAGGTGGGACTGCTGTGGTTTGGGACTCCTGTTTTACTTCTCTTTCCTCTAGCACTTTGTCAGTGAGCGCAAATATGATGAAGAGCTGGGGAAAGCTGCCCGCTTCTCCTGTGACATCGAACAGCTGAAAGCCCAAATCATGATCTGCGGGGAAAGTGAGTTTTGCATGCTTACTAAATAATTCTGTGTGAGTAAGCTTGGTGCTGTTTGGAGTTGATGGCAGAAATGTCAGGTAGACAGTCCCCCAGCATGGCTAACCTGAGGTCTGCAGAGCTTTAATGATCTAAGGTCATGACACAAGTCACTGGAAATGTCAAGATTTGAACTTAGACTCTTCAAATGCCACTGCCCGTCGGCAAATCCCCAGGATTTATTAAGCTGAACAGAGCATGTCAGCTAGTTTATACCTTCACAGACTTTTCCTAAGCTCAGCCAAGCACACTGCTACTCTGGTTCTATAGAAGCTGTTCCAGCCTGCCGGAGTACTCAGGCGTGAGAGTCCCGAGCGCCGCCCCCCTCCTGTTGAGCCTGAGTTCTCTGCTGAGTGAAGCTGAAGATAATGAGAGACTTCACGTCAGCCATTAGTTTAGTCTTGTTCCCTATTAAGCCTTAATTAGAGTGGCTAATGTGCAGCAAAATTGGCTGCTGCTTTTTCGTGTCCTCCAGCCCACACACAAGGGGAGGTGGGGATGAGTGATGAGTGCTAACGTGGCTTTGAGGACAGTCACAGAGAAGAACCAGCAACTAGCCACAACCTCATAGTCAGCAGAAAACTGACTATGATTTGACTGCACTTGTTTTTCTACGTTGAAATTTCTTTTTTTCTCCTCAAAATAAAAAAGTTTATCAACTTGGTCTAAAAATTACCAAACTGTGCTGACTAGCATATGGCATAACATTCAGGTCACCTTTATATTTTCTCGTATATCCAGTCTACCTATTACACACCACATACATGTGTAGTAATACAGTTTACTTTTGTTGCAATAGATACTAGACATTTTTCCATGCCAGTATGGTTAGCTGGTCACTTCCATAACTCATGTGACCAGTCCTCGGGTTGTTTAAATAACTTCCCATTGAGTACCAAAAAACAATGCTGAGGGCTTCCTGTTGGCAGATGTCAGCCATCTGTTTTTGTTTGTTTGTTTGTTTTTTGTTTGTTGTGCTTTTTAGTTTTTTCTTCATATGCTGCCTCGTTTATAGCAGAGCCTCCTTAACTGGCTCTTCTTCTCCAAACAAGCAGTTTGGTTGACACCTGGGAAGGAACCTGCCTATCCTAGGTTCTCCTTGAATCAGATGACAAATCAGACTGTAATCCTGAGTGAATCCATGTCACCCAGCTCTGGTGGGGACAGGGACAGGGAAGGGGCACTTCACTCGCTTTCCTCCAGGTGCCATCTAGTGAGAAAAATCATCCCTTCCCAAATTACGAGTGGCCATATAAAGACAGCCAGCCTCAAGTGTTTGTGACAGTAAACCCCACAAAAATCCTTCATGGAGGGAGCATTGCTACAGCTCCTGAACCAGAAGCAGACATGGGAAATAATGACCCCATGCAACTGAATCTGGTAAGCGTGAGAGCTGCTAAAATCCCCTGGCTGTGTTTGGACAGCCCAGAATCATTTGTCACACCTTACCTACAATATGAAGGGGCTGCATCTATATCCCTGTCCTTTTCACTTCTGACATTCTGTGAGCCCTACTAGCCATTCCTAACCCTCTTGCCAAGCCCTGGGATTAAGTCTGATCCAACAAAGGGAACAGAGAGAATTGCTTTTAAAAATTGGTGACAATTTTAAAATTCAGAAGAAGATCTTTCTGTCCAGCCTGGCAGTTGAATCCCAGTGAGCTGTGAGAGAAGTCATGGCTTTATCCTGGAATTGATTCCCTCTGGCCTCGATTCAGTATAATCACATAGAAATCATCCTGCCTGAAACCACCACTTTCAAAAACAACAGGACTGGCAATAATAAGCATTGAGCAGACCTGCCTGACCTGAATGTGCACCTGACAGTGAGCTGCCTGATCAGCCTGCCATGCACGTAGCACTGGGAATGATGTAGACCTGCAGTTAAAGACTGATTTGGGTAGCCCTGGTGGAGTATAGAAGATGCACAGGACTGGCAGGCCTGCCCTATGGTCAGGGATACTCATGACCCAGAGCAACAAAATTTCTAACACATAATTTCCACCCATCCCATGCTCTCAGAATGCAGGGCTCTGTCAGCCTCTCCATCCTTATGAATCTGCAGCACCGGATAGTACAGATCCTGAAAAGTGCAGTATAAATGGGCTGAGTAATAGGGAATCTAGGAGGCCCAATTCATTTATGGATGAGCCAGAGAGGGGACATCACCGTCATTATCTCCCTATCCATGGTGGTTCTTGACCTAAAGAATAATCTTTAAGTCACTCAGCTATGTCTTTGTTCCTGCAAATGCCTCTCATCATGGATGGTACCTCACAGGAGAAATGTGGTGGTCTCTAAGCACCATGGTGTCCTTTCACGTCTGAAAGAGTGACCTTCATGTTTGTACAAGCTCCTGCCAATTTCTTCCTCTTCTAGCACTTTCTAATGGCCCCTCGGGCGCCAGAGCTCTTGGCACAGCCCCTGACACCAAACCATTCTTTGTTGCAGTCACACATCCAAAGAACAACTATTCCTCAAGAACTCCCTGCACCTCCCTGCTGCCTCTGCTGAACACCCATGCAGTTGCTGCTGGCAAACAAGGGAACTTTGCCCGAAAATCATCCAATCACAACAAGCCCTCTGAGGGGAAAGTGGCAAACCCAAAAATGGTGGGCGGTCTTCCCAACACCGCTGATGCTTGTCACCAGACCATGCCTACTAACAAGCAGGTAAGCCACTCCAGGAGGGCCTCACCGTGCTGCCTGCAGGGCCTCTGCCAATACTGGTACATGATGCCAGCAAGGAAACCAGGCTCTTTCAGTTCCAAGAGCGAGGACTGCCTGGCCTCATCCGGTCATACTTCATAGGCTCTTGCCTTTGCGTGCTCCACCATGTCAACTCATTCACCTAATGGAGACAGGTCCTCTCTTGCCCTTCTTGCCTGCGTCACCCACTCCTAGACAGACCACTGAAACAATTAGTGAGAGGAAAAGTGACTGTTTTTATTCACCACGAGAAAGTTCCTACTTAGGTTTGGAGAGTCAGTAATATATCAAAGTTAGGCAAACTTGCCTTGTCTTGGAATTTCAGTAAAGCACACACTTTTTTAAAACAACTTTATTCATTCCTATCTTGCATAGCCTCTAAAACTACAACTTTTCACCAGGCAGTGCTAGTGCACACCTTTAATCCCAGCACTCAGGAGGTAGAGGCAGACAGATCTCTGTGAGTTCGAGGCCAGCCTGGTCTACAAAGTGAGTTCCAGTATAGTCAAGACTGTTACACAGAGAAACCCTGTCTTGAAAAACAAAAACAAGAAAGAAATCTTTTCAAAGATCAGTCTTCTACCTCTCCTCCATTTCTGAGAGGGAGCTAGTAGCCTATGGTTAGAAAACAAACAAGAAATTGGATTCGGTGACATGGGTGTTGGGTGCACTGCAAAGATAGCTTTCATGATCTCTGCAACTTTCTTTTTCTGTATTTCAAACCACGGGCTTGCTAGCAGATGCCTTTAGGGGTTCCCACTGCTGACACTGCCAGGCATTTCTGTGACTGCACGGCCTTTAAAGTAGTGGTTTGATAGAGAACACTGTATCAATGCACTGGCTTAATGTGTCTCCACTGCATTTGCCTCATGCTCATTATCAAACACCATGAGGAAACTAAGCCTAAAGTTTAACCTGTGACTTTCCCTTTCTCAGTTTCTTTAAAAACAAAGAAAGCCAAATCCATTGCTATCATGTAGATTCCTTTTCAGCTCAGTGACTTTAGCATTTAGCTGATTGTTAATTTAAGTGGCAGTGCTCTTATATATCTAAGCAAAACAGTGAGGGGCAGGCTGGGAGGTCCCTGTGTTTCAGAGTAGCTGTTAGGAGGCCCACAGCATTGTCCTTCCTGCAGAGTGAGGGGTCAGGGAGACCAAGGAGACATCCACCCAAAATCAGCATTCCCTCTCCCCCTCCTCTCATTCCTCTTCCTAATCTCTTTGAAGATGAGTAATTTTCTTCCAGTTCCATTCAAAGGACTGTGGTGCTAGATTGAGAAGTATATCGACTTGGCCTATTTGCATGTTGTCTTTTTCTACTATAGTTTGAAAACCTTTATGTCTGTTATTTAGGGAGTAGATTTGTCTGATGCCTACTGGTGTCTTCTGTGGTTTGTTGGCTTCAAACACTTCCTTCATTTCTCTTTTTAGCATAATGGACCTTCTAGCCAAAGACGAAGATTTAATCCCCAGTATCACAATAGGCTGAATGGTCCAGCCAAGTCACAGGGCGGTGGTAACGAAGCTGATCCCATGGTGAAGAACAATAACCGGCATGAACACAGGAGACAGCCACACAACGGTTTCCGTCCCAAAAACAAAGGTGGTGCCAAAAATCAAGAGGCCTCCTTGGGGACAAAGGCCCCAGAGGCCCCAACACATTCTGAAAAGCCCCGTCGAAGGCAGCACGCTGCAGACAACTCAGAGGCGAGGCCTTTCCGGGGCAATGTTGGTAGGGTTTCACAGTGCAATCTTTGCCCCACAAGAATAGAAGTTTCCACAGAGGCCACAGTTCTCTCAGTCCCAGCTGTGACATTGGTGGCCTGAGCCGGGAAAGAAAAGAGCAGGTTTTGCCTGGTTTTGGTTCCCTGCCCAAGGTGCTGACCCAATTCGCTGCCAAAAGAGAGTCAATCAGAATATACAAACCCTGTATGTTTGTGTCATTCTCTCTCACTCATTTTTACTAATTCTAATACTCTACTCTAGCTTGCTTCATAACTCCCATGGCTTTGCTTGATCTGTTGTCGCTTCTCCTCATCAAGACTTTGCATCATTTTAGCCAGGCAGTATTTACTCGTTGTTAGGAAAATCAAGATGTGGCTGAAGATGAGAGGCTCTGTTAGCAACCTATGTTGTAGCTGTGATGTCAATCCATTGGTTGTCTTTAGAGAGGTAATGTTGAAACAAGAAGTTCTTGATCAGACAAACGTGATCTGCTGAAGACACATGTGCTTTTGTAGAATTTAACATCTGGTGTTTTTCTGAAATATATATATATATAAATATATATATAAACATATATTGCTTTATTTGAAACAAATTAAAATATGCTGCATTTAACACCTGTCTTGTTTCTTTCTTCGATGTTGAATGTTCTTTGTAGCACTTTTGGGACAAAATTAAAGACCCCAAGTTTGGTGCCAAGCTCTATAAAAGAAATTCTTAGGAAACACAGATACATGCTATATGCCCAGTCACCTTGGATGCCGCATGGTAGTTGGAAACCATGTATGTAACAAAATTTACAGCGATGATTGGTTCATTAGCCAAAGTCCAGAATTAAATAAAACATGCCTTAGGTCCAATTTGATCATGATTCCTAGTCCTTTCTCTTAATTCTGAATTCTGTCCTCCATATTCTGACACTATATTCAGAATGATATCAATAGCTTCTGTGTGGAACAAGTGTCTTGTCAGAACAACAAAACTTTGGCATTTATTACTTATAGACCTGACTGTAAGTCATCCATGGGGAGAACTAGATAATAGAACAAACTAGTTAGCATATTAGTTAGCATAAACTAATCAGAGCCCATCCCTGACACTGAAGTAGGGCTTTCCCAGAAACATTGGCTTTGTAGAGCTAATGTGACCTCAGAAAAGGAAAATGGACATAGAGTACCCCCAAAGTCAAAGAGCCCCAATTCCCCTATCTTTTGACTGTATGACTTCCCTTGCTGACTACTGTCAAGTGCAAATACACCCTTTCAACTCCTCCTTGGTTTTTTTTTTTTTTGTTTTGTTTTGTTTTGTTTTTCTGGCAGCCCAGGTTCACTGGTTCTCTTCCCCTGAACAGCTGAGCCTTCAAGCCACACAAGCATCTGCTTCTTCTTTTGCCAAGTACCGGAGGATGTTTGCTCTCTCCAGAGCTTCGTGAGGTCTCTGAGTGTACCCAGAGATTTAATAGGAATTCAAAATGTCAAGTCACATTCCAGGAAGGAAGGAAGAGGAACTGGTTCAAATAAGAAAGATGAATGCTTGCAACCACAGTCTCTGTTTACTCCATCTGAGGCCCTGAATTTATAACTTATAAATCAGAAGGATTTTACACAAGTTTTGTGTAGCAAGATTTTGCCCAGCCCCTGAAAAATGTCATTTGAAATGTGACAGCTGTAAGGATGTAGGCAGATAATTCTTACAAAGGGAAAGGAAATGGACATGCCAGGTGATAGATGTGCCCTGCTTTCAGACTCTGATCCAGCCACTCTTACTCTTGCTCCACTCCCTCAAGTAGCCCTGGAGTTAAGAAAGCTAGACACATTCCTGAGTACATAGCAAACACTGGAAAGAAACAGAAGAATGCTAAAAAGTGTTCAGACCTGATTACATTTTTTTCCTCTAGATTTTTTTGCCTTAGACTCTGGCATTTGAGCATTTTCAAATTTGCATTTTAAAGTGTTAATTAGCCATTTTAGGCCAATGTCAGGTCTTTGAAATAAATACTGGATCATATTTCTTTACCTCTGGTAGAACCATTTGTTTAATCCTGTGGATCTGGGTCATATTCTTGCATTTTTCACTTTTTACATTGTGTGTGTGTGTGTGTGTGTGTGTGTGTGTGTGTGTGTGTGTGTGTGTGTGTGTTAGACAGTGAGTCCCTGGATCCACCTAGGGCTGCCTCCCCAGCACTAGGATTTCCAATGCATGCCCAGGTTTTTATGTGGGTTATTGGTACCAAAGCCAGGTCTTCATGCTGGAATGGCAAACACTTTCCCAACTGAGTCATCATCCAGCCCAGTTCTGCCATTCTCAATAAAGAGTGCTGAACACCTTTTAAAAGGCCAAGAACTGCAAACACTGATTTCTCTACTTCATGTACAGAAGTCAAAGTAGAACCTTCTCTTTAATACTCTCTGATAGGGGTCAGAACCGTTTAATACTCATAATGACTGCATAGCTTCAAAACTCACCTACATTGCACCATGTAGATCTTGCATCCAGACTCTGAAATCCAGACTCCCTGTTGGCTGCCCAATTACATTCCAAATTTACACTTTACTGGAGAAACTGCACATCCCCACTCTGTGTCCATGAGAATGCCACCCTTGCAGTGTGTTTAACCATGAAGAAATTCACCCTCAGGAAAGGCTTGGTTTAGGGAGAGAAACTAGCAGTACAACTCCCAGTTGAAAGCCCAGGTTACAGACATTCTGTTCACCTCAGACACGGGGATTCGAATTAAACATTCTTAGAGGGGCATCATCAAATAAGGTTCATGGGAAAAGTTATCAGCTAAAAGTTTTTGTTAAAGTAACAGACTAGAGACTTCTGATTTTTCTAAAAGCCTAGGTTTCAGCCTCGATCTTTATTTAATCATAAGAAACAGAACCCAAAGTTTCCTAGACCCGATTGCAATGAGGACAAGGAGGCCAGGCTGGTCCCTAGCTATACAGAAGCTGTTGGGACTCCTCACTGCACTTGAGGCACCATTGTCCTTCCTACCCTTTACACATTGCCTGCATTGCTGGCTGGTTGTGGTGCCCTCGTGTGTCGAGCAAGAGTAAATGCTTGCTTCTTGGCAAACATTCTAGTGACGGCTTGTGAAATAATGTAATGGGCTTTTTTCTCCCCCATTCAGAGTAAATCCCTAAAATTCAGGCACAGGAGGACCACGACTCCAAATTGCCCCAGGAAGCAAAGGTACTGGTACGTGAGAGAGAGAGAGAGAGAGAGAGAGAGAGAGAGAGAGAGAGAGCGAGCTGAACGCTCCAACATCTCTCAACCTTATAAAATAACAAAAGAAACAATGACCATTCACTAACCAACTAATATAGTTGAATTTTTCTGAAACTATTGAACATCTTAGTTGTTGTAATGTTTGGAAAAAAACAAGTGTGAAGAGGTGTGAAGCCCCATAGGGTCATTTAGCTAAGAATTTGAAACACAATTTTAATACTATACTTACAAGACATTATAGGTTGTTTTTCATTCTCTTGCTTTTCATAGTTTTGTAAGTCCTAAAAAAGACTTCTATCTATTCATAATATCTGAGATTCAGTTCCCATCCATGAAGGCTGATCAGACAAAACCAGTGTTTAATCTCATGGCTGCAGCCCCATGGGCAGAAAGCGTGGGTCTGAATCTGTTCTGCCAACGCACAGTGCGCCTCTCAGCTGATCACAGCTTGTCACACAGTGTGCGCCTCTCAGCTTGTCACACAAGCTTCTTACACGTTCTTCAGGATTCATTTCCAGAAGCCCCTTTCTCTGAAGACTGTCTCTTTCCAAAGCCTAGAAGAACTCTATGTGCTTCCACTAGGTTCAAATTTCACAGGAGAAATTCCACACCCTTCCATAGAACACAGTTCGAAATCAAATCTATTTATGTGGGGGGGGGAACGTGTGTAGCAAATTTTGGCACACAAAAAAATTCAGAACCACAACTGCAATGGTGACCAAAGAACTACAGAAAACTGTTAAAAATACTTCTTGTCAAAAAAAAAATAAAGTATTCTATTTTAAGCTGAGATACTCAACTTTGAATTAGATTTATGACATGCTTGAGCTCCACTAGCCTACAGCTCTAAATGCTTCTGTTTCTTCTATACTACATACAAGGCCCAAAGGCCTGCAAATCACAGTCAGGTGTATTGCAGCAACAGCACCATGTCTTGGTACCCATTTTATGTGTTAGTTGCTTCTCTGTTACTGTGACCAGCAACATGATCTGAGGGTACAGAGCATCATGACTAGGGTGGCATGAGCATGCAGCAGGAGCATGAAGCAACTGATTGCATGGCAACTACAGTTATAAAGCAGTAATGACTGCTGGGTCACTATATCTTAGTTTTTATTAGCTAAGTGCTTGGTCAGAAATAAACAAAATGTTTCTAAGGGTAAGCATGGCATGATGGCACATACCTGCAATCATCTTAGCATTTGGAAGGTAGAAGCAAGAGGACCAGGAATTCAAAGTCATCCTCAGCTGCCTAGCAAGCTTGGGACCAGCTGGAGTTACATGAGACCCTGTCTTAAAGAACATGTATTTCTAACATCACACTAAAACCAGGAATGTAATTGGGAACTCAAAGGATAAATTTCTTCATTGGCATTTTTTAATTCTTTGTTGGTGTCCTCCCTCTTAGTCCCACCCCTGCCTGCTATTGCCAACTCCAGTGTTGTCTACTCTTTCCATACTCCCTGATAAGGAGTTGAGTCACCCAGAAACAGTAATGGTTCTCAACTGGGGCAAGTGGCCCCCACCACCTGCAGAAGGCATTTGGATATATCTGATTGCTGACCAGGTACCATCAGACACCCTCCAGTGCAGAGTGCAATCCCAATGACCAAGAGATATCTGGTCCAAAATGTCAACAATGTCCCTAGATTACTATGCTGGACCTAGAGGTGGTATTGCTGTGTATACCCCACCCCTGCCAAATCATGCATTAATCCCAAATGCAACAGTACTGAGAGGCAAGGACTAAAGAGAAGTATTTAGTTTGCAAGAGCTCCATACTCATGAATGGACCGATACCAATACAAAAGGCCTAAAGGCTGTCAACTCAGTCTTGTTTTCTCATCCCCTACACCCTTCTGCTTCTAACATGTGATGGAGCAGAAAAGGCATGTGGGCTTCTTAATCTTCAACTTCCCAGCTTCCAGAACTATAAAGAGAATTAATTATTCATTATTGAGTCTCTGCTACTCTGTTCCAGCGAAAGAAAGAAAGAGGATAGATACTAGGGGATGGAGAAAGAGACCACCCAGCAGATGGGAGACCACCCAGATGACAGGAGACCACACAGCAGACAAGAGACCACCCAGCAGATGAGAGACTACAGAGCAGATGGGAGACCATCTAGATGACAGGAGACCACAGGGTACCTTGATGCTAGTTGACTACATTCTCTACTGGCTCCAACTCACTTACCTGCTGACCAACATCCCTGGGCTGAATGTGGGTTTCTGATGTCCTTAAGTTGTCCATGGTGTCAACACTCAAACTGAGTTCCCAAGTCTT